TGTATTTTAGGGATGCGCAAGTGATACTGTGTGTTAACGGTGGACATGAACAGGAGCAGTTTCCTTCCAATAGGGGAACTTCCCCTTCCCCTCTTTAACTTGAGCATCACCTGCAGCAGGAAGTGCAGTCAAGCAAAGATGGTGCCCGTTGCTGTGGCGGCGGTGCCTGCTGTGCTTTCTGCTCCCAGTGAAGGGAGTGGGTGGTGCACGCTGCTGCAGGCGGAGGGTGTTTTCTGTCAGGGGAAGCCCTGTTCTGAATTGTTCAGGCTAAAAAAAAAATCTTTCTGTTCTCTCTCTCGCATTTACAATCTGGCACTGCGAAGTGGTCAAGCTGAATGCAGAGCTCATGTTCTTTCACTCTTACTGGAGTGTAATTGGGTGATTCTACTGCAGTCCGGCCACTTGCAACTCGAGAGGTCGTACTAATGCAGGGAGCGAGGCAAAACTGGTCAAAGTGTGAAGTATTGAATCTTAAAGGGGGGAGTGTCCGCTTTGGGGGCAGCAAGTTTCAATTCAGGACTTGAAAAAATAAGCAGAGGAGGTTAGTTGCTACCAGGTCTACTATATTAAATGATTTAATTCATTAACGAGGGTCAAACCATCCATAAATGCCTCATTAATGTTTGAGGTTTGCAAATTATACATTAGAAATGTGTAAACCCTCCAAGTACCAGAAATGGGAGTGTTAGATGCACAGAATTGAATTGTTTGCTTAGTTTTCCAGCACTGCTCATGCAGTCAAAGTTGCATCCCTGATTTTGTTATAAGCCGTGTTTAAGATGGGAGACTGGAACAAGCTACAAAGCTATGCTGGAGAAGTTGATTAAGGAAAGGCTGGATGACCATTCTGGATCAGTTAGCTGCTAGCAAACTAATGAGATGGATGAGGCAAACTGCCTTCTCTCGGTGGTAAACATTCATGTGTTCCTTATCCAATTAAAGGAACGTGTGCAATACACTGTTTTTTCATTTTTATTTGTCAAGGCAGTATGTGTGACAAGCTTGAAAAAAACAGATATCGCAGCCCTTATCTGCTGTCATGTGCACGAGTTTCAAGCTTAGGCCTCTGTGCTGCCAGGTGAAGGCACTCACCCGGGGCTGCAAATGATGACCCCTGCAGCAGAGTCATGGAGAGGAGCTGGCTGTTGCACACAGGCTGCAGCAGCAGATCTCTGAGCTATGTTATAGCACCTTCAAATTCTTCAGGTCCCAGTCTGGCCTGACAGGGGCATGCATCTCGCTCGTCGGAGTGATACCTGCATGATCGCTTTCACCCGCTCATATTTTGCAGGGCACCTTTGAGTGCTCAACGCTACGCGGAAAACTGCAAACAGGGCCGAAAAGGACTGTCTTCACCTCTTCTTGTAATTCAGAATCTGAGGGGGGGAGATGATGAAGAGAGCAGGCTTTCAATTTTAAATAACTTTTATTCCAAACCCCCCAGTGTGTGATTGCTTTGGTTTTTGTGCACTCCTCTTCCAGCGTTGTCCTTTCTGTACCTGAGCACACTCGTCTGCCACGGAGCACGATACTGACAGCTCAAAACATGATCCTTTTTGTCCAAAATGAGCTTCATTACCTGCTTCCCCACTGCCGTGTGGGTTTTGTGTGGTGAAGTGTGAGGAGATTGAGAATCTATGCGAGCTGTCCGAGATAGCGGTCCGCTTGCTTCTTCATCTCCATCCAGCACATGCAAGGTTCTTGTGCCATGAAACTTAACATGAGTGGTCAAATAACATTAGAACTGATCTGAAGGATCCTACTGTAAGTTAATCTGCACCCTTACCAAATGTTTTTTTTCCTCTTATTGGGTAGTCATCTTTATTTCACCCTGGTTGCTTAAGGAGAGCCAAAGCCGTCGTGACTTTTAATTATTTTAGATGTCATCCGCAAAGCTCTGTCAATCTGCAACACCACCCAGCGAGATTAGTTTTTAAAACCCGTGGAACAGAGCGCTGTTTAACTACAGCAGCAACTGTGAATCCAAGAATTTGGTTTCTGGGGAGCTTCAGCATAGATAAATCCTGCAAATCCTCTAAGCGCTGAATAGGTCTGGTCAGTCAAGCCCCACGTTAGCGTATCGGATCAGTCGGTGTACTGGAGCAATCTTCATCCTGGCTCTATGATTTAACCCGGGGGAGTCTTCCTCCTATGGCAGATCCTCTTTAGTTAGCACCTTGGAAATGCCAAAGTACGTTGCAGGATCTTAAATGTGTTGCATAGCCTGACAAGCTTCTGAAGACCCATCGGCACTTGCAGGATGCTAATGGAATGAGTTTTTTTTATTTTTGTATGTTTTTTTGGACTAGAGCAGTGTGGATAACCTGTTAAAGAAATCTTTCAAACACGCAGGCTGTGGAGTACAGTGACTTGTTTATACAGTTACATGCGTCTGATGCTGAAAGTGCTGGTATCTGCCCTTGCTGCTACTTCATTACCATATTCTACAGATTCATTTATTTAGGTAATACCTCAATTTTTTTCAGGCCTGGACTCCAACAGCAAGTTTTGTGAAGCCTCTCACAGCCCTCAGATCCCTAGTTTCGGCAATTGACGTTTTGCTGTGAAAGTGCGACTTGTCCTGCGGTTTCACACTGCTACAGGAGAATTATCTAAGGAACATCATAACCCATTGAAAAGGCAGCTGCATTTGCAGGCATCTTGGGTAGTAACTGCATTTCTTCTCCCTCGTAGTTCACACCAGTTCGAGGTAAGTTAGTGTCGCCAAGATCAGATTCAAGCATTGATCGCGCTAGGGAGCCAGGGGAGAATTCCCAACAGTTTCAGGAGTGGGGAATAGAAAGGGCAGCTTCTCACAACATGCAAAAACACGGCAGCATGATTTCTTTTTCCCCTCCCGTCGGCACTTTCAGAACCACGTTCGTTGTCATCACTCAGTGACAGGGAGTCTGAGTTGTGGCCTGACGTGACCTTCCTCAGTTGTTTCTTTATTCAAACCAAGAGAATGAGGTACACATGCAGTTCTGGGTTTTTAAATGGCAAATGCAGTTAGTCAGCTTCCAGTGTTGGGCAGAATGCTACTAAAGTGCTACCAGAATAGTATTGCACCCCTTTGGGAATCCACAGTGCTCTTTGTGAGAGGTCAGGCAACGAGCCACTACAACTGGTCTCCTTCCCCAGGCATCAGAATTCATTGAGCCTGCAGTGCTCCATGCAAACTGCCATTGACAGCCAGTACTGTACAAAAACACTTGTTTCTTGAAGTCTTTTCATGTAATTTTAAAGCTCGTACAAGACACTTCTGAGTTTTCAGGGGCTATGTGGACTGAAAGTAGCAGCAGGGTGTGTTTTTGCGTTTCCTTGTGTCCTGCTTGTTTATCAGGTTGGCTGTATTTGTCTGATTTCCTCCGTGGCTCTGCAGTCGGAAAGCCTCTTGCTGTGCTACACCTGCTTGTTCCTAAAGAGAGGACACAATGAAGATGTCCTGCACTGTCACTCAGAGCTTACTAGGGTACATGTTTCGTGTCTGTTCCAGGTGGTTCAAAGAAGTCTGCTTGGTGTGGGTGGTGAGTGGTGGAGGGTGAGGCCTGGTGTGCTGCTGCGTCTCTGTGAGCAGTCTCCCAGGTCCGAGAGGTGGCGTTGATTGTGTGCTGAAGAAGCACGCGTCTGGAGGTGTGGTTCACAGTGCTGCTTCTGAGTTTCCTCGAAAGCATATCGAGTAATTTCAGGTTCTGGGTTTGTAAAAGTGAGCGGAGAGCTGTTACGGCCCCCTGTTCTCTTTCTGAAAGTTAGAGTTCCTCTCCGGGTCTGTCCTGTTTTACAATACTTAAAGGGAACAGAAGACAGGAGACCTTGTGGCCCATCTAGCTTGCTTGGTAGTTAGTAGCTGCTTAATTAATCCCGGGATTTCATCCCGCCAGGACTAAGCCGGGATATCCGCTTCAACAACAGCTTTAAGTGCAATTTCACATGGTTCCCACTGGTATCTTCGGGTTCTTGTCTCCCTGTTCGTTCTGCTGGGCTGTCTTTGTCGGGGCCCTTAAGGATTGTGAATACTTGTATCAGGTCCCCTTGTGTTCTCCTCTGTTCGAGACTAAAAAAGTTCAGTGTTCCTTCGCTGTGTGGGAAAGTTACTGCACTATCACCAGGGCAGGTGGTGGGAGGAGTGGGGTTGGGGTGGGATGTCTTACCGATGCTGAAAGTGTTTGCTGTTGAAAAGGGGGGCGCATGGTGCAGCAGGAGACGCGAGGAGACACCCCTCAGTCAGTTCCCAACCATGCAGGAATGTGGAAACTGCTGCTGCCGAACAAAGCAGGGTGAACAGCACCTGGGGCTCTCTCGGACCCTGAGCACAGGTGACCCTAGTTGGCACACTGTCTACTCGCCTGCTGATCCACCCTGCTCCTCGGCACCCCCTGCCCTGTCCTGTGGGTATTAACAGGGCCATGTTCCCCCTGTTAATGAAGCCAGCTGGAAGCGGGGTGAGTCTTGAATGAGGCTGGCAAACAGACAAGCAGAGCCTGTGGAGGCGGACGAGCGAGGGGCGGGCGCAGCGAGCCCAGAGCTCCCGGAGTGGGGGGGCTGTTTGTACTGCCTCCCTCCTTGAGAGTCTCAGCGAAACGGACACCCGAGCTAAAAAACAGATAACACGTGACAAACCACTCAAAAATAGCAGGTCCTGTTATGTCTTGAAATGATGAAGAGACTGTTGTGGTGTCTGCTGAGGCCGGTTTAGCAGGGGAAGACGTTGCAATGTATTCACCCTTTAACAGGTTCTAGAGCAAGCCGTAGAAGGCGTAGTGAACCCGTCTGTGCTGTAAGAGCTTGTGTCCAGCGCTGGGCGGCACTGTGGTGCCTTTGGGTTATCGGCCACTGCGCGGTCGAGCTGCAGCACAGCGCTCTGTGTGCAGAAGGAAGGCTGTGGAGAGGGACGGGCGGCGGGGGAGTTCCTCAGCTGTGTCCGAGCCGATCTCTCACACACACACTCCCCCCCTGCACACTTCATTCATGGCCCTTTTCTGCTCCTCTTGTGTCGGCAGAAGTACCGGTACCAAGATGAGGACACGCCTCCACAGGAGCACAGCTCGCCGCACCTGGCCAGCGAGGCGAAGGGGCCGGAGCTGGTGCACGTCTCGGAGAAGAACCTCTCGCAGATCGAGAACGTGCACGGATTCGTCTCGCACTCCCACATCTCGCCCATGAAGGTAAGGGGCCGGAGCGGCGCGGATTCCCATCCTCCGTCTGCATTCCATTCTCGTTACTTTCTGTCTTTCCCTGTTCCGTTTCGACACGTAGGCTGAAGCAAAAAAAAAAGGGGGGGGCTTTGTCTCTTGCCCTTGCCACACACCCTCACACCCAGGCTCACAACCACACACACGCAGGTCTTCACCGAAGGAATTCTCCGCAGTGCAGCAGGTGGAAGTTCAGGCAGAAGCCACTTGTTTTCCGTGGGTCCTGTTGTTGGTGTCAGGGATCCCTCTCCGAGGAGTTAGTTTTGGGAACGGTGATGTAAGTGCGCCCTCCGGGAGGCGAGCTGTGTTTCAGCAGCAAGAGGTGTTCGATAGCATGTCCACTACCTGCTGGTCAATAAGAGGGAGGGCTGGACTTACTGCCTCGAAAAGGACAGAGCACCAATTACTCTAGAAAGACAGAACGTGCACCGGTTTAGAAGTTCTTCCTTTAAGGTTCTTTTACAAAGCTCTAAACCAGCAGATTTTCATTAGCTGTTATATATATATAATTTTCCAGTTTGGGCAAGAGTCTTTAATGCAGAAGAGATGTCTTGTTGATTATTTGAGGACCTCCTTCAGATTTAGCGTGCTTTTTAAAGTTCCATGTTTCAACATGATACCTGACAAACTTGTTTACCTTGTCCTTGAAAATCCATTTCTTGTGGTGGTTTCTGCTTTGCCTGCTTCACTAACTTTCAGTGGAAACCAAGGAACTGAAATTCAAGGTTTATAGACTGGCTGTAATCCTGGCCTGTCTCATCTCGCCTTGTCCTCCTTAAATCAATAGTAAGGGGCTGCTGCTTACTGTTTATTTTGTACGCTGTTGCATAATTTCTTTCCCTAGTTTGGAGTGTCTGTTCAGTGTTGTCATTCCTGGAGAAATCAAGGCTGGTTAATGTGTTTTCTCATCTGGTTGTCTAGCCAGTCTTCACAGCCTGTGTAGTGAACTACGTTAGTGACAGACTCCCCAGGTTGATGAGAGCTGATCTCAGCCCTGCTTGGCCTCGAGCTGCTTGTCCAGTCTGCAGGGTTTCAGGTTTAGTTGCATGATGAGTGTCTTGGTTTCAGATCCTGTTTGAATATCCTCCCATCTTTAAAATAATAGGCTGGTGTTCAAAGGGAATTTCCTTTGCCCTTTTCTGGAAATTTTGGCAGCTTATGGTGATGATGTCTGCACAATCTCATTGATTTTAGATTCCCTAAGAAGCTTCACACCATTTTCTTTAATGCTCTTAATCTGCTGATGTTGTAAAGTTGAAGAATTCACTATGTGTTTTGTGGACAACTACATACAAGGGATTACAGGCTGTTACTACTACAGATACCGATTGTACTTTTAAAAGCAATCTATCTATATTGCTGTTTAGTTGCTGTTTAGCACATAGAAATGCATATATTCTTTCCATTAGAGCTGATACTGTGTGTATGAACCTCAGGGGTTCAGTTTTTGTGACCCTTCCCATGTCACTCTTTTCTAAGATAGATCACTTGGGAGTGCCGTTTGTGTGTTCTCCCCATTCGTGGGGGTTTCAATCAATCTAGGTTTATCAATGCACGAGCAGTACCCCACACAGCGGTGTTGTCGGCACTGAAGTGCTTTATCCGCGGAGCTGGTTAAGAGGGATAGAAGAGTAGAAGGACAGAAGTTTATAGGGATTAGGATACAATAAATTACACAGTTACAATTTCCAGATTGTCGATCGGGTGCTCCGGTTTCCTCCCCCAGTCCAAAGACATGCTGGTGGGGAGCTGGCCCTGGTGTGAGTGTGTGTGTCCTGGAATGGGCTGGATCCAGGGTGGACCCTGCCCCGTGCCCCCTGCTTGCTGGGACAGGCTCTAGCTCCCCTGCAGCCCTGAACTGGGTGAAGAGGTGAGAAAATGGTTTTGCCTGGGAAGTGTCTGTTCAGCTTTTCCTTGGCTGAAACGCTGGTGGCAGCTGGCATGCCGGGAGACCACACCACTGTTACGAGCTGGTTCCCCTCTAGGAGCTGACCAGTCTGCCTGGGGGTCAGGGGAGGACCAGGGGCTGACGTGGGAGGATGGACAGTGACCTCGTGGCAAGCGGAGGAAGGAGTTTTCTTAATGAGGAGAGAATAACGCTTCGTCAGAGTTCTGAGAGGAGCAGGTTGTGGCGATTTATCACCAGGCGTCCCGGTTTCAGCCTGACGATGGGAGGAGCCTAGCCGAGAGCAGCCGGAGTATTTATAGATGTAACAGTGGCAGGAAAATGAATCTTCAGCGCCCGAGAGCCGCTGACAGCCCTCCCTAGTCAGGATGCCTTCTGCCCCGCCTGCGAAAGGGGCGGCTTGGGAGCGGATCAGCCTGTACGGGAGGGACCCAGCCCGTTGCCTCCTGGCACCTGGGGCTCCCTGCCCAGCGGCTGGGGGTGCCTTGTACCCCTTGGGGAGACAGTGGCCCACAAAATGGGGACGGGAGAATCCTCCCTCCTCAGTGCTGAACTGGCCCAGACACGCTTCTTCGAGCTCTGCAGTTGTTGATGATTTTAGGAGAACTACGATGTTGTCTGGATTCTGACGCTCGAGGGCTCGGACTGTTCACTTGTCTTACAACCAGCGATCGGTTCAATCCTGTCAACAAAACAAAAGCACAATGGCATTTGGTCATTTCACTACTGCAGTACATGCCTCCTTAAATACTCCCTTTGAATGCTTATAACCCAGTGAGCATTAAAATTATACACGGTGCATGGGATTCAAAGTTTCTCTACCGGTACTTCCAGGGCAGCGTTTACGGAAGTCGACATTAAATGCGGATACAGCAGGGAGCAAATCATGATGAATAAGAGCAGGTGTAACACAGGGGTTGGACTTAAGAGGCCAAATCACACCTCCTTGTGTGTCACTCATCTAGCCTTTTTGTCAGTAACCAGCTCATTAATCCAAAAAGTGCCCCCTGTTCTCACTTTTAAATGCACTTCCACGTAGTTTCCGCGGTGCCCCAAGGTTTGTGTTTCAGTGTAACATGTGGCTATAAACATGTGGAGGCAGTGCAGAATGGATGTGGGCACCCCGCAGGTGAGTAAACATCCTCAAATGGGGAATTAAGTACAGGGTAGGAGCTGCTGAAGGATGCAGCTGAAAGCTGTGAGGCTCTCTTTAGCAGAGGAGTCTTAAAGAAGCTGGGAAAGGCGATCAGGGGCTGAGCAGTCCTGATTTCTGGGGGCAGTTCATTGCACCTGATGGAGGTGAGGTTGGAGAATGAATGATGGGAGAGAACACAGGAGCAGCAGAGTGGGCATGTGGGATTACACTTGCGCTTGTTTTTAATGAGCAGTTGATTTTTTTTTTGTCCATTGTTGGGTATAGATTGCCAGTGTAGAACCATAAAACTTGAATACACGTGCTAAGTTTCATATGTGCATTCATTTAACTGAATTAAGTCGAATGCTCTTGGGTGCCGTGTGTGAATCGTAGTCAGGATAAAGATCTCTGGTCCCACCTAGTGGATAAGTCATGTCATTGCTTAAACAGTTAAACCCTTCATAGAAATTAACCAAATGAAGAAGATTTGTCTTTCTGGATTTTGCCTGGAATTAAAGATAATTTGTTGAATTTTGATTATTTTTATCTTAAATGTTGGGCTCATAGACCAGTAGGTGGTGCTTTTCCCCTTGAACCACAGTATGGAAGCCCGGCATGGTGGCAGGGGATCCTGTGCTATAGGAGAAAATAAACTGAGGTCCCAACTACTTTTGGGATCCCATGGCTTTTCAGAAGAACAGGAGTGTTAACCCTGCTTTCCTGGTTAAATTCCACTCTGGCCCTGGATAATCTGGCCTCCCTCAAGATCTTTAAGTTCACTGCTTAATTTGTCTGGTGAAGCAGTTTCTCACTCCTCCCCCTTATTGTCTGTACAGTGGGGCTGCAGGTGCAGGATAGCTGCCTGACATAGCCCAGGTGGATGCTGTTTCCTCTGCTGAAAAACACTTAGGATCCTTTGAAATTACCCTTTTTAAAAACTATAGATGAGCTATAGGTATCTAGAGAAATGTCCAAATCCAGTGCAGGAAGATATAGGTTTGCATAGAGGTGTGTTTTGCAGGCAATTTAATTTGTCCTAATTAGTGAACCCCATGCCAAAATAGAGTACAGTTTCACAATAGGGATGCGCCAAGATTTCTGCTCACTGATGTTTGCTTTCATGTGTTTAAAGATGACTGGAGTTGGTTAAAATGCAAAAGGATGCTGCCAGAAGCTTTTGAAAATAAGCTTTGGAACTTTCACATGGACTCCCAACATTTTTTAATGGATTCCTAGTCTTCTGAGTTCTGCGTTTGGACTTTGAGCATGTTGTAAGGGTACCTTGTGGAAAGCATGATGACAGCGTTGGCATATCCAAAGTACAAACACTGAGTGGAAAAACTGAAAAGGTCGTCATGAAAGGTGAATCCTTCTGTGCACCTGGGCCTGGTGAGGATTTTGATCAGGGCCTAATGTGCTTGAAAGACTGTTAGATGTGAGAGTGTCACTCTGAGGAAGAAGGGAAGGTTTATTTAACGCACGTCCATGTGGAGGCAGTGCTCAGTGAGACGTCTGTGAAGTGGAGCCACGTCCGTTGTGATGGAGTCAGGCCAGTGGCCACACGCACAGATCTGGTGCCAGCGGGCAAGCGCGGGTTTTGGAGGAGTGAAAGGTCGTCCGTGGCCGAGCTGCTCCAGCAGATGAGTGGCCCGGGGTCCTTCCGCTCGGCAGACACCGGCGGCCCAGGATCGGCACGAACAGCAGAGCTGCTGCCCTTGCTGGACACATGTCTGTTGGTGTCCGGGCTGCCAAAGGGAGTGCCTGCCATGCATATCTGGGCCTGTGAAGCAGAGGCTGCACTGCCCTCCAGGTCCTGAGCATTCCCCCAAGTTCGGCTTTCAGGGGCAGTAATCCTTCCTCTGGACACACTGGCTCACTGGTCCGAACTGGACTGCTGGACATCCTCGTTTTAGCCTTTCAGCCAGCACATCCAAGAGCCTTTTTAATGCCTTCTGTTGACCACTTCCTGTCCAGTTGTGCTGTGCCATTTGGCATGCGCTTGTTGATTTAAAAAAAAAAAAGTGAACCCCTACTCAGGATTATTCTTTGCTATCCTTTTTGTGTACTCCATGTTTAAAAATTACATTTGCCCCCGTTTCTTGCTCGGGATTTGATATTATGCTTCCTGCAGGTAACTAGTGGAGCTATTTATATAGAGAGTATGTAAGCAGCACAGCCAGTCTTCCTGTAGCGTTGCCAGAGCAGATGGAGTTAACATCTTGAACCTCCCCAGGTGTGTGGTACCTGTGAACTCTCGGTGACGATGCTGTCCGTTACCAAGGTGCCGTACAATAGACTCGCTATAAAAACCTATCGCTTCCTGTGATGCTTGACGAGACTAAGGAGAGCATAGCGAGAAGATTAGTGAGCATTAAAGTTTCTGTAGTTGTAGCTAATAAAACAAATAGCCAGTGCTTACTGTGTGGTGGTTACTCAGCGGTTTCTCTTTGCTGTGTAGTGCTTGCAGTGTAGAAGCAGAATAATCCTAACAAAAGACATTTCAGACTTTAGAGAGGAAACTCTCTTCCAACCCACCTCTCACTACACTGATGCTGTAAGGTTTCTGCAGTAGATGTCACACTAAGGCCTTGTACCCTAAACTGTTCATTTCCAAATGGTTTGACTGGTTCCATGATTTGATTTAAGACGCTGTGCAAGTACAGAAACGGTCAATATAGTGGCCGTGTCAGTGCCACCAGCATTGTGCTGAATGCTGACGGTAGCAGTGCTCTGCTCAGACTACAGTGTTTGGAGCAGAAATGGGACACATCCCTTTACTGAGGGAGAGGAAGAGCTTTCCCAAGTTGGCTCCTGCTGAATAATTCCCTTTCTTCCTCATCTCAGAGAGGTTTCCCCGAACACACCGTGACTAGAATATTGTGAAATCAATTCAATAATTTGACTAAATCGCTTTTTTTCCACCCCCCCAATGTGAAGCTTCTTGTTAATTATGGGGGTTGTTGTGGCTCTTCACACAAGTGTAGGTGTAAAGGCTAAACAACAAAGGGGCCCTGGTCCAGACCCCAGAGGGACACCTAAGGGAGGTAGTCTGGGAGAGGATGTAAACCATCCACCGACGCACATGGATGTTTCAAACGCATATCAAAGATCCTGTAGAATTGATCTAAAATAGAGCATTGTGGCTCAGACTGTGTGGCTGTGTTCAATAAACACTGTTTACAGTTTCAAAGAGCAAGGAGACCTTCCAAAGAGCTGGAATACAGCACAGAAGAACAGCAATAAACAGCCAAAATTCCCAGTTGTCAATCTGGATACACGTGATCATGTGAATGTTGTGATGTTCTGTTGCATTTGTGTGCATTGACTCAGTTTTGTAACAGTGATAGGGACTTTAGATATCATTCTAATACTTAAAGCAGTGATCGATTTGTGAGACTCATGCTCTGTGTTCATTAAAATACTGTAGATTGCATTTTCCACAGTTCATGGTCATCGTGTAGAGCTATAGAGATTTCATGTCTAGTCATGTTGTCTGATTGTTGTTCTTTCATGTTTGGGGTACCGTGAAGATTTTTAAATGATGAAATTATTAAAGCCTGTAACAACATTTCTGACTCTTTTCTATTTTATCAAATGTTATTTTTTCCTGAATTTCAGTCATATCTACAAGATCCTTCTTGTCTGCCTAACTCATTTTTAACTGTTTGCTACCATATGAATGATATGTTGGCAGCTCATTGAAACAGTTCCATTTTTTCTGTAAGTCAAGTAATATCTGTCTCGTAACCAAAAGGATCTGATCAGCTGCTAACTGACTGGAATGTCTCTCTCCTCTGTTCACACTCACTTCTGTGCTCTGCTGCTGTGTAAATGACTGTGGAGTGTGTCTCTCTCCTCTGTTCACACCCACTCCTGTGCTCTGCTGCTGCTGTTGTGTCCCTGACTGTGGCGTGTCTCTCTCCTCTGTTCACACCCACT